TGTGACACCAAAACCCCCCGGAATAATTCGTGTCCCCCGCTCATGTACTAACACCTCTATCTTGCAACACAAAATAGTGTTTCATTATAATGTAACTTTTCCCTCTTTAGAAAGTTGTGTCAGGAAAAAAAGAGCTTGGTATGATACATTACTTGGTGGTGCAGGAACTGGTTTGGGTATAGTTAATTCTATAGACCTTGAGACCTTGGCTAGCAGACTGCGCAGTGCTGGACAAGATGTTTCTCAAGCTTTGACTGTGAATGCCCAATGGTTACCCACAACGATCCTGCCACACCAAAATACATTACAATATCAAGGCCAATTTTTACAAGTCTTTAATAATAGCATCCTCGTTAATTTACACCTTATGAAAAACATTGGTGTTTTATTTAATTGGACTAAATGTTCCTTGCAAAACTTATATACCCTCATACAGAAGGAAAATGCCCAAAGATTACTACAGGAAGGTAACTCTCACATATGGAACGATATACTTGACTTGTCAGATGTATGGAAAAAGCAAAAACCTGAGAATGCTAGATGCACTCCACTTTGGTGCGCTGGAACTATTATACTCTACCAAGTTAAAACTTGGACTGTTATGTGCCAATTTCATGTAATACCTTTTGTCTTACATAAATACTTTGCTTTACCTCATATCTATGGAAACTATATAGATTGGTATAATGTAACTCATACTCTGTCTGATTGTGTTGTAACTAATGGAGGGATTGTTTGTGGGATGATGACTCGGCAGATGGAACCCTGCCTTCTCTCACATTCATCCAATTTGTGTGATCTAACTTTATACCCAGTGAGTAACTTTTCTATGATATATGAAGTATCTACTCAATATGTTTGTATAGCCTCTAATAATCACTCTGACCTTCTATCTGTAGATATTACTACTGTTCCATTTTCTGGTTGCTTATCCAATGTATCTTTCCTACGCTGGCAAGGAAATGATTTTTACTTTCCACCAGACACTAACCTAGTTAAAAATTTTGCTTGGGTACCCCAATCTTTGCCTCTACCTCATGTGTCTCTATCTCTATATCCCCTTATGAACATCTTGAATCAGTCGACTGAAATCAAAAAGTTATTAGAGTCCAACCAACGCGCGTTAAATGAACATCGAATACAGACTCTTATAGCTGCAGGAAGACTAGTCGAAGCTTCTCATTTAGTGACCTCAGATACTAATCATCATTGGTATGATTTTCTTTTTAAATCTCCTACTGCTACTATGTATTTTAATTCCTTAGCTACCCCCATACTACTACTTGCTTTGTTCTTTTTATGTCTTTGTATATGCAATTGTTGTATGTATACCAAAATACGCACTATATACACTCATGTCACACCTTTGCCCCTCACCTATTATTCTCATGATCTTAAGGCCAAGTGAAATGGAAATTGGAAATTCCCCTTTAAATTAATAAGATCACTCAAATAAATAGGTTCAGTTCAAATCTCGGTCATGACCGTTCCATATCTCCTGAGTGTTCTTGGCCTAGCATTCCAGGAACTAGCCATTCCTAGGTCACGTTGACATGGAGGGTTGGCTCCTCTCCTTGTGAGACGTGATGTTATTAAAAAACAAAATACCAAGCCTCAGGCGGATGGGAGCGTGGCTAAGGTCAGATGTGTATTGGACAAACCATGAATAGCGCAAGCATCAAAAAGGGGTTCTTGGCCCCAAGCCTTCTTTGTTTAGAACAATATAAAAACACTGCGTCCTGTAAGCCCGCTGAGCCTCACCCGCGGGAAGGACGCTTCGCCCGGGAAAATCTTTACACAATTCAAGTTTGTACTGGCTGCAACGGGGCTCCCAGCCGTTGATTGATTTTGGAGGTTCCCTTGAATTGGTGATGTATTCTCTTCCATTACCGACTCTCTTGATCGGTGCTATATTATTGATTGTTCTTATTATTTATGCTTTCTATGCAAATTCAAACTATCTGTGCTTTGCTTCTTCTAAATAAACTATCTATTTCTTATTATTTTCTGGTGCATTGGAGAGTGTCATTTATAGGAGCGAATCCGAACCTCACTAAATCATACTAATACATCTTTCCAGGTTTTTCTGAGGTCAGCCTGTTCATCATTTCTTATAGCACAATAGTATTCCATTACATTTATATAACACAACTTGCTCAGCCATTCCCCAATTGATGGGCATTCTCTCAGTTTCCAGTTCTTTGCCACCACAAAAAGAGCTGCTATGTATATTTTTGTACCTGGGGGTCCTTTTCCCATTTGTTTGATCTCTTTGGGATATAGCCCTAGAAGTGCTATTGCTGGGTCAAAGGGTATGCACATTTTTATGGCACTTTGGGGATAGTCTAGGATTTGATTTTTAGCAGCACTGAGGAATTGATGTGTAGGATAGAAATGATCAGGTAACCTTGAGGCCTGGGGTGGGAAGCGACTAAGCAGGCATAAGGAAAGACCAGTTGAAATCAGATACCATTTTTTGTAGAACCAAGTCATCTTGCTCTTTTGACTTTCATTTAGCCATGCTTATCACCTTGGCGACCCACTCAGTTGATATCTATAATGTCACTGTGCATCACCATTTGTAATTTTGAGCTCTCCAAAGAGAAACTAAAAAATCTAACAACAAACTAGTCTTTAGGATAAGAAAATGATAGCAATTTGTAATTCCCCCCCAACCCATTTCTAAGACATGACTCTTTAAATCTTTAGAATTTTCATATGAAATAATCTTCATGTAAGAATTAAAATTAATAATCTGATTTCTTCAGCATTAATTCTGCTTCCCAGAACTGTTTGGTAACATATGGAGTTTATTTAAGTTATAAAAATTCAGAGCAATTTCTGTGGATTTGCCAGATGACATAAAATTCAAAGTGCTAAGATTTTTTTCCCTACAATGCAGAAATTATACTATGCAACTCTGAGACACTAAATGCTCATTTAGTTATGCATCAACCTTTTTTTTTTCTGGTAAAGATTTTCTTTTTAAGTATTGACTTTTAAAATCTGTTTCGAGTGTGTTATGTTTATAACTTCATCACCTGCTCAGCACTCTGATTTGTACATTGTCCCATAAACTTATAGGCTGTTGTGTGGGATTTTAAGTACCACATATAACTCTGATTAAACATTCATCTCATTATGAGCCTGAACTTGGCACTGTAGGTTAGAATACACTCCCAACAGAGAAAGCTTCTGAAAACATTGATGTAGTTAAGATTTATTGCATTAAGTAAAGGTTAAAATTGCCATGGTCATCTACTTTGCATCCTAAAGGATAAGAAAGTAATAGGAGATAGGATCAAAATACTTTAGGAAAGGAAAAGAAAAAGCCTATAGTTAGGTGCTAAATTGTGATGGTTGTTGTGAGGAACAAAGGAGATGATTGTAAAGGCCTTACAACAGTGCCTGGCATATAGTTGTTGTCCAACCTTGAGTCTGAAGAGGAACATTGACATCATGGGTGATGATGAATTGGATTTAAGTGAGGCAGAGTTGAGCAAAGTTGTCAGCCTCACTCTCTCTTCCAGAGTTAGCAAAGTTCAGTGGCAAGATAAAAGTAAAGACAACTCGGGGCAGCTAGGTGGCGCAGTGGATAGAGCACTGGCCCTGGATTCAGGAGGACCTGAGTTCAAATTCGGCCTCAGACACGGAACACTCACTAGCTGTGTGACTCTGGGCAAGTCACAACCCCAATTACTTCACCAAAAAAAAAAAATAGTCAAGACGACTAGCAGTGGCGTGTGATACAGTGGATGACCTTGGAGTCTTTGATGTCTGACCGAGCTCTAAGCACTCCACAGTGCTTGCTTCAGCTGCCCTCATGGCCATTGGAACAAATTGTTCTCATTTGTCCATTCCAACGGGGAAGTATTACATGCTTGGGATAGGAATCCTCTTAATTTATCAATGGGATTAAGGTCTGTAAGTTACTCTCAACCAGGTTTAGCCCATCTGCCAAGATAATTCCTCTGTGGTGTGGCTGGTGTACATGCTATAGCTTCTTGAAACCTTAAGTGAGAGCTGGGTGGCATATAGTAAGTGCTACATAAATGTTAGTTACTGCTGCTGCTGCTGATGCTACGGATATTACCATTAAAACAGATTGAGTAACCAATTTATTAGCCAGCTCCCATTTCTGGGCCAATAAATACCCTGTTCCTAGAATATATTGGGAAAATATTCAGGGAACCACAGAGAGCAAACAAAAACAATACGATAAGCAAAATCTTCCCCAACCAATATGGATTGGAAGCTTGGGAAGGGCTAAATTATCTTATCATCCAACATAGTTAACCAGAGTGTTGATAACTGTTTGCTGCTTCCAAACTCTTGAATTCTTTATACCAGTCAGATTATTTGTGACTGCAGAACTTATGTAGTAGGTGTTGACTTTGTCAGAGGCCACAAATATTGATAAAGGAGTTTGAATTTAGTGGACTGACCAATCAATTGATAGGGGATGACCAGTGTTCCATCACTGGTAACTTTTATTTGCCATAATGACTTTGAGCATGGAAGCCTTTTTGCACTGTCAGATTTCTCTAGGTGATTGCTATTTGCTGAAAACACATTATTGTTGATGAATCCTGAAGCTAATAGGGAAATTTCTATGTTTTTCCATATTTATAGGCTGTATTAAAGATTATTCTCAATGCGGAGTCTCCCTAGAATTGGAGGGAGGGGGATGGCATTGACATAGACTTTATTCTGCTGCTTTCCTCTTAATTGTGAGTTGAAATAATTGTTAGATTAGCCTATGAGACAACAGGGGAACCATTCAGGGACTCTGGGTCCTGGAGGGTGGGGGTGAGGTTGAGATAGAGGCCAGGATGGCCTGAGGTAGAATAATAAGAGCGGCTCACATTTCTGGCATCATAAGTTAGGGAAGAGAGACAGTACTTCAGTCTCTACTATAGTACCGTGCCTTCCTCGGTTTATTTTTTTTCTTTTCTGATCTTGCCGCCTTTTTTCTTTCCCTCAAAACTTTTCCCTCCCAGATTGCTCAAACTTTCCTGAGTAGCAGAGCCCTGTTTGGTGAGTGAGCTTGGACCAAAGTATACCTGTGATGACTGAGGGATCACTTTCCTTGTTCAGCTGTTTGTCCTGAATCATGAAACCAGGAGGTAATGCTCCAGAAGATTGGAACTCCCTGTAATCTGGAAAGACCAAATTTCAACAATAGAGAGTCAAGCCACTTCTCACTGCGGCCTCATTTTCCTCCTCTGCAAAACCAAGGAGTTTGATAAGATGCCTTCTAGCTCTAGAAAGTGATATTGAATGTGGTGAAAGTAGAGGTGATACCTTCAAACTCTTTTTTAACCCACTCCCTCAAACAGCTATCTATCTTTTTGCAATAAAAGATACTATACTATTCCATCCTCTCCCCTGAACTTCACTTCCACGTTAGCAATTGCTTTTGGACAATTTAAACTGAATGTACCAGTGACATCTAAAAAATCAGCTAAATTGATTTTCTTCTCCTTCCCAAACTCTTACCTCTTTCAAATTTCACTGTTGAAGTTGCCAGCCTCTTTCTAGTTTCCCAGGTTCTTAATATGCTACTGGGCTCTACTTTTCATTCCCTCAACTTCTGTATTAAATTTATAATAAATTTTCTACTTTCTACTTCCACAACATCTCTCACATCTGCCTCCCTCTTTACTGTAATGGCCTCTTGATCGGTCTTCCAGAGGAAAATATATATGTATGTGTGTATGTATATATGTATATATAATACATATATATATATATATATATATATATATATATACATACACACACACACAGACATGTATGTATACGTGTGTGTGTGCATATATGTGTGTGTGTGTGTGTATATGTATGACCTCTCCTTTCCTGGTGACAAAGTTATTTTTCAAAAATTCAAATTTGACCATGTTACTGACTTAATGAATCAACAATATTACCTCTGATAAAACACAAACTCATCTATTTGGCTTTTAAATCCTTTTGCTGCTTGAATCCAACCTGTCTTTCCAGTCTAATATAACATTACTCCTCTGGAACTCTGTATCCTGCCCAAACTGGCCTTCTTTCTGTTCTTCACACATGACAGTCCATCTCTAGGTTCTTTAGATTTGCACTGGCTGTTCCTTATGCTTAGAATGTACTTACCCTGATAGAATCCTCCTATACCTGCTGAACACAATTCAAGGGCCATGGTCTACATGAAGCATTTCTTCATTCTTTCAAATGCTAATGTTATTATGTTTTTATTTATTCTGTATATATTAATGAATGTATGCATGTGTGTATGTATGTATGATGTATGTATGTATGTATAGTTGTCTTCTCTATTAGAATGGAAGCTGTGTGGAAGCAATGATTTTTTTTAAAATTCATTTATTTCTATCCCTAACAACCAATACAGAGCCTGGCATGTAGCAGGAATTTACGAAATGCTTGTTGATTCACTGAATGATTTCCATCTCTCCCAGCAATCAGTTTATCTAGATGCTAAGAGTCAAGAAACAATTGTTCTTAGCACCTAATTATTAAGAATAATCATTTATTTATTATTTATTAAACTTAATTTAATAAATTTATTTATTATAATTAATTAATTAATTAATTGATGATTTAATTAAATAATTATTTAACTATTAACCTCCTTCCTTTCCTAGGTACAGAATGGACAGGGTGTCTTCCTCAGGAGTGGTCTCTTGATATCGTCTGATCTCTTTCTCCCCAAACTGGATTCAGCCTCTCTCCCTATGCTCCACTATCTCCTGTGACCACTTACAGTGCTTGATCCTGGCATAAGTATATGTAAGTCTACTAGTATCTTTTCCCCTGCCTGTATTTATATTAAATTTGGATGACAGGAGGCACTCCTAATGTCCACAGTGCTAAAGTGAAATTCAGGAGTGAAATGTCATAATTACTTTTAGAATCATAGATCTATAACTGAGTCTGCAATGTCCATCTAGTCCAATTCCCTATTTTATAGACAAGATAAGTGAGGCTTAGGAAGGTTAATATTCTTTCCCAAGTTTACAAAGTTAGCAAGCATCAATGTTGTGGTTTAAATCCTGGACCTTCTAATTTCTAAGATAAAGTTCTTCTACTTTGTGACACTTTTCTTTCACAGATACTCACTTTATTTCTAAAAATAGATGAAGTTGTAGTCTATTGATGGACTAAATTATGAATAACTTTCCACAAATAAGAAATTTATATTAAAAAAAATCAAAGATACAATGTAGCTTCTAGTCTGATCTCAACATCTAAATCAATATTAATGAGACAGTGTTCTGGTTGTCTTTATTGATGCTTTTTTAAAAATCATTATTCTGATGGTTCTTTATTGACTCATGATCCTTTGAAGAAAGCGATGGTATTGATGGATCAATTCTGTGGAGCTGTAGACATATTTTCTGAGACAGTATGGCAGGAAGATGACAGAGAAATCATAGCACTTTGTACTGGGGGCTTCTCAGAATTACTCAGTGACCAAAGTCGGAGAAATCACAGGACTGTGTAAGTAGCACTGGAAGGACCTTAGAGGTCATCTAATTCAACTACCTCATTTTACAGAGGGGGAAAACAAACAAACAAAACAAAAACAAACAAACAAAAAACCCTAGGGATTTGCCAAGCAGCTCTGTTAGGAAAGGATTCTGGGAAGAGGGTGGAGTAGGTCAGAAGATTCTAAGCTCTCCAGATTTCCTACACAAACAAGACAGAATAGCACCTGAGGGTCAAGGTAGAGCAGCAAAAGTAAACAAGAGTTGGGGCAGAACAGTGGTCCCCCTGGAACAACCAGAGAACATCTGAAGGAAGATCGTAGGATGGAGGTTTGGCCCAAGTGAAGTGTAAACACCTCCCTACTAGCTCCTGTCAAAAAACTAAGGGGTAAGCCCTGGGGGCAGCTAGGCTGAAAGGTAGCCTTGACCTCAGCCACAGGAATTTTCACCACCTGGCCAGTGTGGGAAGTTGGGTGAGTGTCTAAGCAGGGAAAGATTGAGGGAGCCTCTGCGGACAAGGCACACCAGGCCCAGCTGTGCTGCTAAGACTCCATCCTGGGCAAGAAGGAACTAACACATGCCGGTGAGTGCTAAAGCAGTGGGGTGAGGCTTCTGCTGGCTGAGGGCACTTATAAGGAGCTGAGTTCTTGGTCTCATTTCTAGTTCAGAGGGGAAAACTGAAGGTCATAGCCACTGGCGGGTTCTCAGGGAGCAAGAACATTTCCAGTATAGCGTGCTGGGGGCCATAGCTGTGGCTTGGAGGGGGAAAGGAGTGCATGGGTTGGACCCAGGACAGAGTTCAAAAAAAAAAAAAAAGGACCTGAGGCATCATCCCCCACACCCCAGGATTAGAGGTGATTATAATAAGCTGCTAAATATTTTTTTTTTAAATGAGCAGGCAAAGGGGAAAGAACCCAACTGTAGACAGTTGCAATGGGAACAGAGAAGTTCATTTTCAGAGGGTACTGAAGTTAAAAAAGGCCTCTCTTACCTCAAAGAGTAATGTCAAATGTTCAACTGCGTGAAAAAAATTCATAGAAGAACTCAAAAAAGATTTCAGAAATCAAAAAAGAGAGATTGAAGAAAAAAATTAAAAAGTAAGAACAATCCAAGAAAAATAAGAAGATAATGAAAAGAAAGTCAGTGAACTGGAAAAGAACATCCAGATCTTAAGAAGGTGACTACTTGAAAAATAAAACTAGGCAAGGGGAAGCCAGTAAAGTTATAAGAGACCAAGGAATAATAAAACAAAATATAAATAATAAAAAAAATAGAAGAGAATGTGAAACATAAGAAAAACAACTGATCTGGAGAATAGCTCAAGAAGAGAAAACATAAGAATAATTGGACTACCTGAAAGCTATGATCAACAAAAAAAATCTTGATATAATAATACAAGAAATATTTTTTAAATTGTCCTTAAGTGATAGAAGAAGAGGGAAAAGTAGAAAAAAAATCCACTGATAGCTACCTGAAAGAGATCCTACAAGGAAAACCTAGAAGAATATCATATCCAAATTCTGAAACCCTCAGGTTAAGGAGAAAAAGTTAGGAGCAAGGAGAAAAACAATAAAATATGGTAGAGCCCCAGTTAGAATTTCACAAGACCTAGCAATGGCTACACTAAAAGACCACTGATCTTAGAACACTGTATATCAAAAAGCAAAAGAACTGGAATTATGGCCTAAAATATCATACCCCGCAAAGTTTAGTATAGCCCTGAATGGGGAAAAAAAAACATTCAATGAATTGACAGATTTCTAGGATTTTATTGCAAAAAATCCAGAACTAAATAGAAAAGCTGACATAGAAGATCTGAGAGAAATACAAGGTAAACATCAAAGACTAATTACAAAGGACTCAATAAGGACAAATTGTTTATTTTTTGTATGTCTAAGATTGTCATTAGCAATTGGGCAGTTTGAAAGAAAGAGTGGGGTAGAACTAAGTATGATATGATTCTTAAAATGAAAAAAGATGGAGGAAAAGGCAAAAAGAGTAGTTATTTTATACAAGTGAGATACAAGAGGAAGAACTGATACAGAGAAATTAGATAGGGGAGCAAGGTGGGTAATTCTGTAACCCTACTTTCATTGGGAATGGGTTAAAGAATAATACATACATATATATATATATATATATATATATTATATATATATATATATATATATATATCTAGAAGGGTATAAAAGTCTTCTAAATTCAGAAACAAATAAGAGGGCAAAGAAATGGTGGGGAGAGGATAAGGGAGGGATAGGGAATAGGATGGGGAGAGTGTAGAAGGGTGTGTAGATTAACAAAAATGAGATAAAGAGGGAATAACATATATATTTTAAAAGGTATAAAATCTTCTATATTCAGAAAGAAATAAGAGGGTAAGGGGATAGGATGGAGGGAAAGGATAAGGAATTCTTGGAAGGGAGTAGGTTAAGGAATAGGAGGGCAAGTTAGCAGGTAGAAGTAAAGTAGAGGAGTGAGGAGGGATGGGAATAGGGTGAGAAGGATAATGAGGAAATAGAAATGAGAAGAGTATATAACGAGTAATCATAGTTTAGAATGTAAATGGGATGAATTTATCCATAAAATGGAAACTGATAGCAGATTAAAAATTTGAATTCAACAATATGTTGCTTTTAGGAAATGCTATAAAAATGAGAGATATGCACACACATAAAATAAAATTAAGGTGTAAAATTTGTTATGAAAAAAAAAGCAGGGATAGTAGTCATGATCTCAGACAAAGTTAAAGCTAAAATCAGATTTAATCAAAAGAGAAAAATAGAGAAACTACACCATGTGCTAGCCATATTAATAAATAGTTTTAGGCTGTATAAAATAAGTGGATGGTATAAAAAAAGTATGAGAGTATACTTACCAAAACAGACATAGGAACTATACAGATATAAAAACAATACATTTTATATAAAATTAGACATAAACAATTGAAGTAATATTTATTGTGCATGGGCAAGTAAAGCTAACATAATAAAAAAATGACAACTCTACCTAATCTATTTATGTAATACCATCCTAATTAAATTAGTAAAAAAAATCTTACTGAATTATGAAAAAAATAATAACTGGGTTCATTTATAAAAGCAGAGGGTCAAGAATTTCAAGGAAACCAGGGGAAAAAGATGTGAAGAAACTAGATTCATTAGATTCAGACCTTAAACCATATTATAAGGTGGAGAGCAGGGTTGAAGTACAAAATGGATAATTTTGCGTATTTAAAATTAAAATTTTCCTGTATACATAAAACATATACAAGAATAGAGGCAACGTAGAAAAATTGAAAAACAAAAACAAAAACAAAAACTTCTCATAGACAATCTCTCAAATGCAATGTGATTGAGTTGGAATATTGTTGTAGTGTAGGAAGATGCTACCCATATACAGAAAAACAGATGATAAGTGGAAATAAGTATAATAATGCATATGCCTTTGATATGCATATTTATGGATATCTAGGTATATGTATATATATCCGTATATGTATGCATATCTATTTTATACATATTATACACACAAATACACATACACATATATTTATCTCTCTCTGTCTCTGTCTCTCTCTCTCTCTCTCTCTCTCTCTACACACTAAATTGTAGAAGGGGAGGAGGAAGAGGAAATAATAAAATAAAAAGTGCACAGCAGAGGACAAAAAGAAAACATATAAGGATGCAAAAAGAAAAGATGGAGAGCTTTGAAAATAGTGTATAGTATTTATTACATAGGTTTTCTTGAAATGGAAATCTCTTCTTTTGTATTGAATCCTCTTTTATGTTCTGCTGAGTATATGGTAATTTTTTTTTCTTTTCTTATTTTGTATTTAACTTTCAATAAATTCAAATACAGTGGGGAAAAAAGATACTATTGCTGTTTGAAGCGGTGGGAATGAAACCCTATCCCACTTTGTTACACTTGGTAAAAAGAAACAAAGGGAAACTTGATAAGATCAGAATACTTCCATGAATGTTTTTCTTCTTAATTAAGTCCTGAGTCTATAAGCTAGTTTTTTAAGGCTACCAGAAGCAAAGCTCATACTTCACCCAGTCAACGTGTAGCTCACATGTAATTCCATGAAGTTTACTGAAAAACCTTTTAATGCTTTTTTTGCATTTCCTTTACTCCAACCAAGTAAAGTCTGAAAAGGGTGACCAAATAAATAAACAAAACCTAAATCCCAAGGAAGTTAAATGACTTCCTCAATATGACTCCAAATTAAAGTGGGTTTCAAAGTCAGATTAGTGTACTTTCTATCTTGATATGCTGTCTCCAAGGATCCTTAAAACAAGATAAAATTCAAGGGATACACTATTTTGAGGAAATTCACTAGTTGTACATTTTCTAGACATATGAGATTACCCATTTGTCCACCTTTGTCTATGCAACTAACCCTTGATATAGACAGATTCCCATACTTTCTCTTGCCTTGGGCTCAAACATCTAGCCCATAATAATCCTAAGATTTCTCTAAGTTAGGACTCTAGACAACTGGCCAAAACTGTTCAGGAAGCAGTGGGATTTGAGCCTGCCAGCTATGGTCACGTGAACTGAAATTAATAGTATGCCTTTAAATACAATTTCAGGGAATCTTCAGCGCCATGGAAGATGTGGTGCCCCAACTCAATCCATGGGGCTATGTGAACTGAAGTACTAAAATCACCAGTCTCTCAAGTTGCATCTATTTATTAATTGGTCCTGTAAAGGGAACAGAACAGGCAGTCCTAGAGAAAAAAAAAATCCATGACCATGCTGTAATTTTCCCACTGAGTAGTCCACCTAATTTTTGTAGGAGGAAAACAACAACAATAACAACAACAACAACAACAACAACAGAATTCTAGACAATGTCATGATTATTGGCCCCATTATAGTATAAGTGAATTAATTCATTTTTTGTAGTCCTGACCTCACTGCTTTACTTTTATCTAGCAGTTATCAACATTATGATGCCTATGGAGAGGAGCTATATCCTCATTCATATCATTGCAGAAGATGAATGCAAGGCATCATTTCAGACCAATCTGAGACAGTTCAAATATTGAGTTCATATTGAGTAACCCTAGAGACTGCGTAACCTTCTGACCGTTTTCCAGTGGCTTATGAACTTGATCATTCATGGGCAACTGGATCAGAGGTTGGAAGTACAGCTAAACAATATTCTAATTTATTCTCAGACCCTAGCCAATACATAACATTTATGGAAAGAGCTTCCCAGTGACTATGTCTGGATCCTGTTTTTGGGAAAAATGCCTATTTCAGCATTCTTGGGGCATATGAAAGACCTATGCTTGTGCTTTGGTGTTACAGACTGGCTTATGAAAGGTGGTGATGAGGCAGGGTGAGAGTGGTCAATGGGGGAATCATAGATATGTGAAAAATGTCATCAATACTTTTTAATGAAAAAAGAAGAAAACAAAAACAAGTGGAGAAAGGGATACAAACAAAGGGCAATTTTGTGTCTACTTTGTTAATGTATATATATGTGTATGTATGTGTACAGGTATACATATGTGTGTATACTGAGATGGAGGGATAAATAGTTGACAGATTTCTTAAAATGATATATAAAGAAGAGATCACAGTATCTTGTACAATCCTCTTTATTGCTTTTTTCATATTGGAGTATTTATATTAATTGATAGTTATTAATTTCATGGGGAAAATATTTTTAAATGAAGGGAGTTAATCTTAAATTGGGTCCCACAAAATGCAATAGAACTACCTAGTATAATTTGAAGTGTTTCAAGATATTCCTATCATTTAATATTGTATTTTTTCAACTAACTGTTTTTCTTCCTGTGTCTACCCCTATTTCCCTTCAAGGATTTACTCAGATGCTGAAACTCTTTCAGTGGACCATGGTACTGAAAACTGAAACTGACCTTAGGGAGCTAAAGAGAGTGTTCATCTGTGCAAATGTGCCTGGAATCATTGAAGACATTTGTGGCAAGCCAGCTCTTTCCCCATCTTTTCCTTATTGTTCAAGGAAAATGTCACATGCAAAGAAACCACACCATATGGGAAAAAGATCTGCTGCAAATTCAGGCATCATATTGCAGTATGGTGCCATCATTTGAAGGGAGCCCAGAACTCCATCACATAGCAGCTGGCCTATAAGAACCAGGAGCTACTCCAACATGCCCAGATGTTAAACCAGTGGCATAGAAGGTGGAGATCATTTTTAAAAATGAGTTCACATCTTAATCATCTACATTTAGACTACCACAATTATTGGGCCAACTGTTCATCCTGGCAACCAGAGTGTGCCATCCCCCCTCCAACCTCAATCACTTGGCCACTTAACACTAACTAAACTTCATAAAGTTAATCTAACAACAACACTACAATATATGGACACTCAGGACCATGTATCTGCCATCTGAGTAGGAGAAATGTCAACTGCTCTATTCTATCTTCAAACTTTAACCTGTTCTCCTGGAAAGACATGATAGATAATATGGTGATTGTGCCATAATGGCCTAGCAGATCACCTAGGAATTTTAAGTTATTACACTATTTTCCTAAAGATTCTGATTGACCTCATCAAATAATATCAGCTATTTTAATTTGTTCAATATGGTGAATCTCTTGCCCAAAGAAATGACCCCTTATGGAAATCCCAAGATTATCATGATCATTATCAGTGAATTTCAATCAGATATGCCATTATCCCAAGGATATGACTTTATCCTGTGATATTGGACATTATCAGAAAAATGGTTTGCCTTTTTCCCAGAACTAGTCATCCTCCTGTATTCAGCACCACACTTTTTTGAGATCTTCAAGCTATATGGTTTCTTGTATTGTTTAATATTGGATCAGAGACTTTCAGTTTATGTAACTTCTTTTTTTGATTCAATCTGTCCAATGCTCTCCAAGTTAATGCTTATATCTCCACTACCAATAATCTTTAATCCGATAGCAAATTATAAAATTCCAACCAGCTGCCATAAATATACTTTTGATGCTTTATTTAAAAATAGCAAAGGGATGGGAGGAAGAGGGTATAGTCAAACAAAAAATATTGAGAACATCGATTCTGGAAGTAATTTTCTGACATAATTAAAAGGATGATACACATATATTCATAAAAGACAGCTGTGATTGCTAAGAATCAGCATGCTTCCATTAAGAATAGGTCATGCAAAATATAATTTTATATGAAGATATAATTTTTTATCCTCCCACTCCTCACATGGCCACTGAATAAGTGGAACAAGGCAACACCATTTTAAAACTGGATTTCAACAAGAAAACTCATTTTTTTCCCACACTATTATTACCAATAATATGAAGAAATGTGATCTAGATTTTTAATGCTGTTAGTTTGATTTAGACTTAGTTGAATATTTCAGTCTCATATGTGATCAGTAATAGACCAGGATCATATTGAACATAAGTCTCTAGAAGATTGTCCCAAAAATCTATCTTTAGTCAGGTGCTATTTAACTTTGTTGTTTTTTTTTAATTAATGTCATAGATGAAGGTATACCTAATACATTTACCAAATTTGTGAATGGAGATCAATGAATTGGGCATACAACTAAAAAAACTAGAAAAAGAACAAATTAAAAATCCTTAATTAAACACCAAATTAGAAATAAATACTGAAAACCAAAGAAAAAATTAATATTGAACTAAGAAAGCTATTGAGCTAATAAATAAAACTAAGAGCTGGTTTTATGAAAAAAGCCCTATAAAATAGATAAACCTTTGGTTAATCAAATAAAAAAAAAAGAAAGAAGAAAACTGAATTACCAGTATCACAAACGAAAAGGGTGAATCCACCACCAAACAGGAGGAAATTAAAACAATAATCAGGAACTGATTTGCCCAACTGTATGCCAATAAATTCGACAATCTTTGAGAAATGGATGAATATTTACAATAATATAAATTGCCCAGATTAACAGAAGAGAGAGTAAAATACTTAAATAACTCCATCTCAGAAAAAGAAATTGAACAAGCCATTGATTAACTCCCTAGGACAAAATTTCCAGGTCCAGATGGATTTACAGGTGAATTCTATCAAACATTTAAGGAACAATTAATTCCAATACTATATAGACTATTTGGGAAAATAGATGAAGAAGGGGTCTTACCAAATTCTTTTTATGATACAAATATGGTGCTGATACCTAAACTGGGAAGAGTCAAAACAGAGAAAGAAAATTATAGACCAATTTACCTAATGAATATAGATTCAAAAATTTTAAATAAAATATTAACAAATAGATTACAGCAACTTATCACAAGAATAATATACTATGACCAGGTAGGATTTATACCAGGAGTGCAGGGCTGGTTCAATATTAGGAAAACTATCACCATAATTGATCATATGAACACCAAAACTAATAGAAACTACATGATCATCTCAATAGATGCAGAAAAAGTTTTTGGCAAAATACAACACCCATTCCTATTAAAAACACTAGAGAGCATAGGAGTCTTCCTTAAAATAATAAGCAGCATTTATCTAAAACCATCATATGTAATGGAGACAAGCTAGTAGCATTTCCAATAAGATCAGGGGTGAACCAAGGGTGTTCATTATCACCACTGTTGTTCAGTATCATACTGGAAACGTTAGCTTTAGCAAGAAGAGAAAAAAAGGAAATTGAAGATACAAATTTATGAATGTTGCTAAGCTGAGACTTTACTATTATGTTGTTAGTTCACAGATCCAGAAATATCAACATTGGCTAGAATAGTAGGTCAAAAATAATGAGATGAAATTGAATAGCAAAAATACTTCAATTTAAAAAATTGACTAGAATTTACTATTAGAATGTAATTGACTATTAAAGTTCCAAGAATAATCAGACCCAGTCAGATCTTCTATGACCTATGGTGTTTAATGGACTCCATGTTCAATAGGAGGCAATATGACATGGAAGTCAGAAAAGCTATGGTAATGTTAGGATGCATTAAGAGAAGTATAATATCCAGAACAAGGGAAGTGATGCCCACCTATCTCCACTTCCATCGACCTCCACATACGTATAATTTCTAGGTAGGACCATATGTAGATTATTTTCTTTAGTTCTGGAAGTCTTATATGATTAAGGGAACTACAGCTGTAGCGATAAAATACATGAAAGCTTTGAGAGAAAAGATTGAATCAGAAAAATGCTATAACCTTCAATACTCCCAACATAGTTCCTCTTAATCTAATTTTAAAGCCTCATCCTTTATTCATTCCCAACCTCCAACACTTGCTGGGCCACTAAAACTCCAGAAAACATTTTTCCATTTGTTTTAGGCCTTATCACTTTCATGCTCTGAGGACACTAAGACACCAATCTCATCTGACTTTTTGTTCTGTTTTTGGTCGCCTCCCAATTCAGAGATGCTACTCTGTATAAAGAATTATCATTCTTTGACTATATATTTTTTGCCTAATCATTCCACTATGTTGTCCTTGTTTCATACAGAATAGGCAAAAATGTTACCAAAGCCGTCTCTAACATTTAAAAGTAATGGGAAAAAAAAAAAAGGAACCAGAGGAAAGAACCTTGGACCCAATACATTATATTCCTATCATCCAGGGGAATTAGCAGGGGCCTTCTTCCAATAATGTATGATCCATGTGTCTGACATGTTTGCTTCAAGGAAAATGCTTCTGGCAGCAGTGGAGAGCAGTCTAATTAAAGTTAAAATAGGGAAAATTCGATCATGATACCATTCTTACATGTCGTTAAATAAAATACACTCAAGTCAGCAGGAAGGCCAGGAATACACATTATCTCAGACTCTTTGGAAGGTGAATACTTTTCAATTTTACCAATTTTTGAAACTTTCACCTGGCCCAAGACTTCAGAACTTGTAATCCATATCCTTTGTTCTAAGTCCTGTTTGTCACGTGGTTTCTCAGAGCAACCGATGTCTGGTTCTGAATGAGGATCGGAATACTTCCAAATCCTTTCCAAATTGGGCATATTCTATTTTCAGCTTTTCGCAGCTTCGTACTCAGAAACACCTCAAGTAGAAAGTAGAAGACCTTGAGCCCCAGAAGCAAAATTGGAGAGTGAGAGGGGGCATGCCTGTACCATTAATCACAAAGTTGGAATGCTTTTTTCACTATTAGATGCTCCAGTGAAAAGCAATTCATGTTAATAACCAAAGACAGAGACTCTTTGACACAGATAACACAATCCTTAGATACTTAGTTTATAACTGAGGCAAATAAAAGTAGAAATATGGAAAGATGTGGGGTTTCATAGGTTACAGGGAGAAGTGCTGGACCTGTAATTTCATTGAAATAGGGAACTCCATAAATGAGAAAAATCCCTCTGCCAATGCAGCTAGTTTATCTTCTTTAAAACTTAACATTTTAAAAAGTTGTAATATTAAACAGAACTTAAGTGACCTGCCCAAGATCACATAGTCAGTATGTGTTAGAGGCAAAACTTGTACCTTGGTTTTTCTAATTCTGAGGCCAGCTCCCTAGCCATAATATAGTCCTGCTTCTCAAACAATTTCATATGATTAAGGAAATTTTCCTCCAGTTGCATAATAAATTCCTTTGGTTTACTAATCCATTTTATGAGTCAATTTTACATTCAGGAGATCTATCCAACTGGGAAGGGACCTGAGGTGTATGTTCTATCTTTGTGTTCTCAAGACTTTAAGGGAGACCTGGGTGGGCAACTATTCATTTTTTTCCCCCTTTTTTATGGGTAGTGGGAAGGAATCAGAGAAATGATTGATGCTAATCAAATAGCTCTTGATGAGAAAGGGTTCTAGAAAGTTGTTATTAATGATATTTCTGTGTCAGAGAGTGTCTCTAAGGCTTAATTTCTCTCAAAGAGAAAATACCATGATGACAAAGATGGAATCACTGTCACAAAATTTTTAGGATTTGCCGCAAGTACAGCCCAGTCCTGAGGACTTGAAGACCTATGTGGCAGCTGGTGGGAGACTTTTTATACTCTGTTATCTTCCAGTCTACATATTAACAATGCTTCTCTATTTCATATGCAAAAATTAAATCTGATGTATGCAACATATGGGATTGGAGAGAAAGGAAAGAAATTTGGAGTGTGATAGAGATCAGGAACTACTGAAAAGAGAGAAGTGAAACAAGTATTGGCAGATGTGGTACCCTGGAAAGCACTTGATTTGGAGTCAGAAAAAACTGAGTCCAAATCCTACTTGTCACTGCTAAGTGACTAAGTAACTTTTGGCAAGTCATTTAACTTCTTTTGGCCCCCAATTACTCATCTGTAAAGTAAGAAGGCTGAACTAGATGTCTTTTGAGGTCCCTACTACTCTTCTATGATCCTACAACAGTAGTAGTGTGGAAAGTGTGCATATTTTGGAGTTAGAATTCAGGATTCAAATCCTGGCACTGCTATTAACTGTTACCTGTGTGATCTTGGGTGGTTTAGTTAATATCTCCAAGCTTTAATTTCTTCATCTGCAAAATAAAGGGTGTGTGGCTTCTAAGGTCCCCAATACCTCTAACTCTATGATCTTATGAAATAGATAGAGAAGCAAAGATGAGTGAGTTTCAGAAAGAGAGAGAAAGAGTAAGAACAGGAAGAGTGATGGGGGTGGGGTGGGGACAATTCTATGCACCATTTCTTTTTACCCTCCTTCCCTGAATTCCTAGAACCTATGCATGTACCTCTTACGTAATGAAGCTTGTGACAGTGAAGTGATTTCATGAATGGTGTTTAAATACTAATAAATGTATTGCTTAATATGAACTAATTTTATATCTGTTATTATTTAACTCTCATATATTAACATAATTGATGATATTAAATATTGCCAAGCTAGAGGAGGGGTCCATTAGGACAAATGACGAATGGACAATAGACAAGGGATTCTGATTTTCAGTGATTGTTAAGTAAGAAAAAGTGTTTAGTCCTAGAATTTGCATCAGTTCTTACATACACATATGCATATACAAATATACACAGAAACTAATGTAAAT